CTACAAACCCTAATGAAACCATGTATTGAAGATTAATATTCATCTAGCAAACAATAATCTTTTTTAGCCATAAAACAAGAAAAATAAATTAATTAATAATAGGAAGCCATATGTTATGTTCATGGATGTATATACTACCATCTAGTTCTATTCATGAACAAAGAGTCTTCTTCTTCATCGTATCTTTCATCAATGGCGGCGAAGCTCTCACCATGGCTACATCGTCAGTTTCACCGAGCGCCACACCCTCGCAAGAAGGGCACATCATGAGCATCGACGCATGCAGTGGCGTCACCGCTGCCAGCTTCAGAGATCTCAGTTCCTGCAGATCACCGTGTAGCCTCCGGTTCTCTTCCGCTAGAGTTTCGCAACGCCGCCGGAGAAATTCGCAGTCCACTTCTGTCTTCTTCAGCTTTGTTCTGCAAAATCGATTAAGGATAATGAATTTTAATTAATATATAAATACACTAGCTTTAAGCATTAAGTTGTTCAATCATATACTGTATGAAGACGAGGGTTAGTTCAGTAATATCTTAATTTACATTTTGAACCTTTTAATTATAAGAAAATAAATTATGTTTCTTAAAAAGGCTGTCTTGTAAAGGTGGGGACAGAAATAAACTAGAAGACTTCTTTGCTCAAAAGATAAGATATGTTACATTTTTAGATAATTTATTAAGGCAATAAATTTTAGGTAGATTCGCATAATTGCCATTCAGTTCTTATGTATTTACATATCTAATATCTAGACTTTAGTTTTTTACATATACGTCATTTTATCTATGCATAAGTAGTAATATTTTTTATATGATATAAAAGGTTTGTAAGGTATAAATATACAGAGTAATATTGACATGTTAGATGTGTAAATACATAGAATTGGATGGTATAAATATAAAAAAACTAAATATTTAGAGTAAGACCTCGCTCTCCTGTTCTGAAACCACACTTCCACCTGCCGAGGCCTCAGATTCAGCTGCTTCGCTAGTGCTAGCTTCTGCTTCTGTTGTCAATAAACAAAAAATAATAATCATAAAAAGACATAATTTTTGTCTATTTGTATAACTAGCACCTAAAATTTGATTTTGAAATTTATAACATGTTTATATTTATGCATGTATTTAACTTTTTAAAAAGATATTCACAATATGAATATATATATATGAATGGGTTTAGATATGTAAATACATAAGAATTGTGGGGTACCTATGTAAGAACCCAAATATATATAACCATGCAAATGATGCAAAGCAATTTCAAAAACATGGAAGAAAAACATGGCTTAGAATGTCGGCTACTTTAGCCCGAGTGAAAAATTTGCGTACGTAAGGCGCACACAACGCTGTGTACGTCGGGGAGGTTATTCAGAGGGTATTGAGGATCTATCTGTAACATACAAATATATGAAAACAGAAGTGTGAAACTTACTAGAAGGTACAAGTATGTTATAGATAGGTTACAAGGAGGTTAAGGGGGTATAACGCGGATATAACCCCCCCAATATTTTCTGAATAACCTCCGTGACGTTTACTGCTGCGTAAGTTTTACAGCGCAAATTTTTCTCGTGTTTTTTTTTTTAATTTTTTTCCATATCAACTCTTATTTTGGAGGACAATTAAAATTCCAAAATTGGAATATAAATCATAAGAATTGGTGCTGTGTACGTAAATTCCCCAAAAATTTGAACAAAAAAAGAACTGACCGGATTAAGCAGCGTGCTGTGCTCGTTAAACTTATCTTCCAAAACAGCCGACTGCTCCCTAGTTAGCCGGAGCTTTTTCCGGCAACCGCCGCTGCCGCCTTCCTCCACCT